AGACAGGGCTTGTTACGTAGACAGGATGACTTCCCATTCTCTATGTATTCCTACTTTTTGTCTGCAGAAGTTTGAAATTCCACAATGATATAAATTAACAGAGGTCTATTTTCACACACTGTGCTATGCATGCAGTGGCTCCTTCACATTCTTGCTCTTACCGAGGGCTTTATATATGCCAGGCAAGTCCTTTGTACCCTAACTCCCCTCTCTATTTTCGTTGTCCTAGAATGTTTATTATTTGAGCTTTGGTAGTCTGTCATCTAATATATTTTATGTATTTGTAACATTCACTTTGTGAATTTCAAATGAGTACAGTATCTACATCATTCACACCCCACCCTCTCCCAATGTTTAATTTTCTCTCTTCTGATTTTGTACTTCCTTGTTGTGATGTTAGGGATGGGTCCCAGGCCTTGGAGCATGCGCACCACCAGTGCTCTGCCTCTGAACTGCTTTTGAAATGTGAAGAAAAGAGCATGTTTACCTAAAAAATGATAAAATGACTTCTTTTTCACAATACTACAGCTGTCCAATGCATTGTATGCATTATGCCAAAATATTCACTAAAATACTTGGGTTGCAAGGCCTCACCCTCCCTGTGATGTGGGTGGGGAATGGGAATGTGGGGGGTCGGGGGCATAGGAGGATGGGAGGGAGAGGGAACTTGGATCGATATGTAAAATAACAAAAAATAAATGTATGTATACATGCAATAATATGTATATATACACATATAAGATATATAATATAAAAAATACTTGCGATGCATATAAGCTACCATTTTCAACATCCACGTAAAAGATAGAAAACATCCTTTCTATACAGGCATACACACACCTGTAATCTCAACACACTTAGGAGGCAGAGGCAGGAGGACTTGCTGAATTTTGGGCCAGCCTAGTCTAAATGATAAGTTCCAGGCCAGTCAGGTTGCACAGGAAGATTCCACCTCAACAAACAAAAGCAAGCAAACAACAGCCACAACAAAACGTTTCTAGTTAAACTTCTCTAATGAAAAAGAAATTCTGCTAGCAGCTTTTCATTTAAAAAGTGCTTCTGTTTTCTGAATGTTTACTCCTTGAAACCAGGTATGCTAGTGATTCGGTGTTAGCAGGGCAGTCTACATAGCTTAGACAGGCTTTGAACTCTGTGTAGCCCAGGCCAGCCTTAAACTCACCACCCTTCTTCCTCAGCCTCCTGAGTATTAGGATATATGTGTGCACTGCCAGTTGTTCTATGACTTAAAAAAATATTAGCCTCTATCTTTTTTCTTGTGCTGCTGCAGATGGAACCCAGGGCCTCAGCAAATACCCGGTGAGCACTCTAACACTGAGCTGTATTCCCAGTTCCTTATCTTGCTTTTGGGGTAGAGGTTTGTTTCATGTGTCTGGTGACTTTGGCTGTCTCTCATAGTGTGGCACTAGATGTTTCACAGAATATGGTCTGTGTGTGACCCGGCTATTTCCTTGGACAATTCTTCAGCATTACTGTTTTCATTTTGTCTCTTGAACCTGTCAGATGCCTTATGGAAGATTATTACTGTCTACCAGGCTCCTGTGAGCTGAACGAGCCAGCAGAAGGAAAACGTCCTGTAGGCTTAAAAGTTCCCTGAATAGTTAAAAGACTTGTGCACTATCATCCTGCTCCTAGTCTCGTAATTCCTCCTTCATCTATGCTTGGTTTATCTCAGCAACAAAGCTCAATCAGTCACAGAAACAGCAGGCAGACAGGATGGCTCTGAAAAGGCTAATGTGATCAGATTGTTGGTTCTAAGTAATGGTAAGATCTGGATAAACAGAGGCCAAAAATCTGCCTCTTTCCAGGCTCAAACTCCTCATGTTTCATCACTGCATCCCACTGACGGAGGATTCTTCCGCTCAGTAATCAACTCTAGTGGCCAGCCAGGTAGGCAGCTGTTGGGTACCAGCTCCTCGAATGCCAGGTGGTTGTGCCGAAGCTCCCTTGTGCATCAGGGGGAAGAAAGAAATCAATTTTAGAGTTGTTAGCCTCTGTCCAACAGCTGGAGGGCGAAGTTCTCGGCCCCTTCTTCCAAACAGGAAGGAAGTGATCAAAGCCAGACATGTGAGGGAAAGCTGCATATGCTCTTGTGTCTAGCAGATTTGGGGGTTTTGTGGAAATGGCGGGGCTCAGGTGTCTTCTAACACAAATTTGGAGACCAGAAAATGAAAGCTTCCAAAGCTACCAAACGAAGAGACTTTGGAAGTAGGTGATTTCTCCCTCCTTCTTGCAAGGAGAAAGCAGCTTCTCCAGGGACCAGCTGGCCAGCGGCCCCCTTGAGTTTCAGGGCTGTTGTCGACTTCTAAATAGACACAAATTGTATGATCCTCTTTGCCTCAGTTTCTTTAAGGATAATAATAATTTTAAAAAACCACCTACCATATAATATGTCATAAAAGTCAACTATGAGGCTGGAGAGATGGCTCAGCAGTTAAGAGCACTGGCTGTCTGTCCAGAGGACCTGGGTTCAATTCCTAGCACCCACTTGAAAGCTCACAACTGTCTGTAACTCCAGTTCCAGGATACCCGATATATATGCAAGCAAAACACCAATGCACTTAAAAAAAAGTCAACTATATTTTTAATGCATTTCCCCTTTGGTAATATTCACATAAAGTTTCAAAGAATGTACATTTAAAATAGGTGTGTGTGTGTGTGTGTGTGTGTGTGTGTGTGTGTGTGTGTGTAGTGCCAGAAGAGGGTGTTAGATCCCCTGGAGCTGGAGTTACAAGTGGCTGTGAACTACCCATAAGTTCTGAACCAGCTCTCTAACCTCTAGGATATATAGTATTGTCTCCTGCTTTTTAGTCTAATTTGTTTTTTGAGACACTGTTTCTTTGTGTAGTTCTCTCCTAGAATTTGCTCTGCAGACCAGGTTGGCCTTGAATGCAGATCCTTCTGCCTCTGCCTCCCAAGTGGGGATTAAAGGCACGAACCCATATGCCTGGCTTTTAGTCTAATTTTTAGTTATAAACATTTATTTCCCTTTATCATTAATATATTACTGAAAAACAATTCTTTTTTATTTAACAGTTTCTCTGTGTAGTCCTGGCTGTCCTGGAAGTCACTCTGTAGACCACACTGACTTTAGACTCACAGAGATCTGCTTGTCTCTACCTCCCAAGTGAAAAAACAATTCTACCATCAACAGAACTTTAGTTTCATATACACTTTTTTTTTCTTATTTTTGAGACAGGGTCTTGCTAAATAGTCAAGACCAACTTTGACACATTCCCGATGCCCTGAGTGCTGGGATTATTACTATGACCTGCCCTGATAGACAAGTAATTGTAATTTTTTATTAAAAATAAAACTGGAGGCTGGTGATCTGGCTTAGTGGTTAAGAGAATTTGTTGTTTTTTTTTCAGAGGACCCAGGTTGGATTCCCAGTTCCTGCACATTATCTCGCAACAGTTTGTAATTAGTTCTTGCACCAGGTACCCACGAGGTGCAAACAAAACACTAACACATAAAATAACAAAATAGTAAATCTAAAGACATATTAGATAGAAAAGTAGTCAGCAAAATGATTCGACCATTAAAAGCGCTCCAAGTCTAGCTACTTAAATTCAGTATCTGGAGCCCGCACAAAGGTAGGAAGGCAACACACTGCACAAAGACATCTTTGATTTCTGTATGTGCCCCATGGCATAAGGCGCGCGCGCGCACACACACACACACACACACACACACACACACACACACACACACACACACACGGTAGAACTTCTCAATGGGTGGGTGACACATGTGTTCTAACTCGGGAAGCAGTGACAGATGGACCGCTGTGAATTCAAAGCCAGGCCTAATCTACTTACAGAGTTCTAGGCCAGCCAGGGGCAGACGACGGGACCTCGTTTAACTAAATAAAAACTCTACAAATGCTTTTCTTCCATTAAGTGCAAAATAGGAAGATAAAGTCAATCAGTTTTTATCATTTAGGGGAAAAAAATCACTATTTGGATTAATATTCTGCTATGTAACATGTGTATCAGTATTTCTGATTATTTCTAGAGAATTAATAAGTCAAGATTTGGCTTCATTTAAAAGCAATGTGTTAATTGTCAGCACTGAAATTTCAACCTAATGGAATTTATTATTATTATTTTTTTTTTTTTAAAGGCAGTATCTCGCTTCTTAGCTCAGGCTTGCTGACCTTGAACTACTGGTGATGCACAAGCTTCAGATGTTCAAGAGCTAGTATTACTGTGTCCTCCACCACACCCTAACGAAATGTCTTTATTTGGGGGCTGTCTTTAGCTTCTTAAAACTCAGAATATGCCAGAATGTGCCAGAAATCACCACAGCAGGCAACGGCTTGTTTCATTTCTAATAGAAACCAACTCGCTGAAGGAAGGCTTCAGAGAGTCAGCTCCAAACGAAGGGAAGCCATGCAACTCCCAGCCTGGAGCCGGCATCGCCTCACATGACGCGCCGCTTTCCCTTTAAAGGCCGCCCACGTGCTCGCACACATGCGCACACTCCGGAGGAAATTCATGCCGTCAGGGGAGCGAGTCATTCTTCCCCGACTTTTCCTGGGGTGTCTGGAATTCCCTTCCGGAAACCGCGATCCCTCTGGAGACGTTTTCCTCATCTGTTCCTTCGCGTCACCCGTTTTTTTTTTTTTTTTTTTTTTTTTTTTTCCTTAATACTTTCCCGTTAGTCGCTGTCCTGGGAGTGGGAACTCCACAGAAAACTACTTTCCGGAGGAAGGCTAGAGGGACTACATCTCCCAGGGAGCTCTGCGGCCGGTCCCCCGCGCGCGCAGTGCAGGTTGGGCGCTGAGGTCCCACAGTCTTCTAGTCGCGTGCAGCCCCGAGCTAGCGTACTACAGGTTCCGTGGTGCCTCGCGCGTGAGTCAGACAGGGGTGGGGCGAGGCTGGAGGGGCCGGGCTGGCGGCGAGCGAGCGGGCGGAGGAAGGGGGTGGGAGCGGAGGCGATGGAGGGGAGGAGTGGGGGCATGGGGGAGGGAAGGGGAAGGGAGGCGGGAGGCGGGGCCGAGTGGGAGCTGGTGCTGGAGTCGGGGCCGGCGGTTGCAGTGGAGGCGGTGATGTCGGTGCAGGTTGTGTCAGCCGCGGCAGCCGCCAAGGTGCCTGAAGTGGAGCTGAAGGACCTGAGCCCCTCCGAGGCGGAGCCGCAGTTGGGACTGAGCACGGCGGTCGTGGGCGCCATGGTACCCCCGGCGGGCGGCGGGGACCCAGAGGCTCCCGCTCCCGCAGCGGAGCGGCCCCCGGCCCCCGGCCCGGGCTCAGGGCCCACGGCGGCGCTCAGCCCAGCGGCCGGGAAGGTGCCTCAAGCGTCGGCCATGAAGCGGAGTGACCCGCATCATCAGCACCAGCGGCATCGCGACGGCGGCGAGGCCCTGGTCAGCCCCGACGGCACGGTCACCGAGGCGCCGCGCACGGTCAAGAAGGTACTGTGGTCGGGCTGCCTCTCGGAGAGGCGGGGAGGGAGGGCGGGCGGGCAGGGGAGCGAGCGGCGGCCCTTCGTGGCACGGCAGCACCCACTTCCACGCCCTCTAGATCGGGGAGCCGAGAGCCCCTTTCCCCCCCGAACCGGCTCTCAGAGCGGCCGCCACCCGGTGCTCCGCGGGGAAACGGAGCCTCCAGGTGCCACGGCCGCACTTCGCCACGAATAACATGGAGGTAGCGCTCTTCGCTACTACTTGGACGAGGCAGGGGGAGGAGAAGCACCTACTACTACATCACCCCCCCCCCCCGCCTCCTGCTCAGTCCCGCGTGTAATTTCCCGGACTCTTCGGCGGCTTAGAAAAAACCTTCCCTCCAGCGATAAGGATAGCAAGATCTTTTTTCTTGGAGAACGAAGAAGCAGTAGTTAGGGCTCGTGAGAGCACAGGCAACCCTCTGAGTGGCCTGGCTCCTGTACAGATGATGACTTCTGCCTTTCTGTGGCCAGCAGCTTTCCACAGGGCGGTACTGATCCTGTGTCCTTCCTTTCTAGCCCCTGCGTTTCCTTGCACCGTGACTGTAGAAGGGTAATGGAGAGATGCTTCACTCTTAAGAGATCTGGTCACTAGACCCTGTATGAAGAGAATGCTTATTTCATTTATTGTGAGCAAGAAAGTGTTAGGAAGAAATGCTGCTACTTTTGGGAAAGCGATCATTTGGGGTCTGTCTCAGCTGTCACCTTCTTTCATACATAGTCATGTGTAATGATAATACCCCATATTACTTATGCATTGGCTATCCTTTACCCCCCTCCCTCGTTTTTTCCTCCCCTTTCTCCATGCTAAGTGAGCACAGGAGGAAAAAAGACAAGAGATGTATGTGGATCATCTAAAGAATTATGGCTTTAATTTCCTACACACACTGTGAACACACAGATTTCTATTTCTTCTTCATTATAATGAATGTATTTTGTTCTGTGAGAACAACAATAAAGAGGGTATGGAGTCTACATTGGGTTTACTGTGTAGGGTTTAGGTGAATCTTGGATCCAGCAAAAATTTTTGTTATAATTACCTCATGACTTAGGTAGATCAGTAACTTCTTCATTCTTCCCACACGTGATGGTAAATGATGTCAGAGGCAAGACTAAAGGAATTTCAACAGTGCTTTTGGATATGCTTTGTCTGTCTTTAGCTATTTGGTGTGGTCTGTGTCAACGTTGTGTCGTGCCTCTCCCCCATCTCCCCACAATTATAGTTAAATGGAGGAATTACAATTAAAAGAGGCAACCTGGGCTAGGGCTTGAAGTACTTAGGTAAAAGTTAGGAAATCCAAAGCATATTTCTCACTAATTAAGATGCTTTGTACTTTGGCCAAATCTTTTTCTTGTGATTAGTTTTTCTAAAGTTTGTAATTCAGTTCTTTTAAGGGTAAAAATGTTTAATAAATTACTGTTAGAGTGTGAAGCTTACACTCAGGTATAGTCCTGGGTTTGAATATAGTGTCCCTTCCCTTAGTACTAACTTTTGAATAATTTGCAAATTCTATAAGTCACTTCTTCTAAAAACAAGGGTATGTATTATAATTAAGGATTAGAAACGTGGTGTTCGAATAGAACTAGGTACCTATAATACAATTTTAAATGATAGCTGTTATTAAAATTGGTTGTTTCTCTCAAGGCTCAAGTATGACCCTGTGACCTTCTCTGAAATGTATACATATTGGGAATAATTCAATAGATTCTGCATAAAGAAGTTTAAAAGTCACAGGCCAGCACCCTAGAGGCTGGCTTTCCTTCTTTCTTCTTTCTTCCTTTCTTTTTTGGTTTTTTAAGACAGGGTTTCTCTGTATTGCTTTGGAGGCTGTCCTGGAACTTGCTCCATAGACCAGGCTGGCCTTGAACTCACAGAGATCCACCTGCCTCTGCCTCCTGAGTGCTGGGACTAAAGGCGTGCACCATCGACGCCCAGGGAGTCTGGTTTTCTTAATATTAAATGTGCATCTTGGACATTTTCCTTGTTGCTGAGCCATCTTTTTCTTTTTTCTCCCCCAGTATCAAAATCCTGTTCCATGATTCTAGATTTACTCAGCAGCCTCAAGGCTATGAAGACAGGGCTGAACTTGCTTTACAATGTTAATTACACCAAAAACCCCATCTTACTTGCTGAAAGTTAGGCAGGCGAAGTCCTGAGCAAGGATGCAGCTGTCTGACATAAGTAAGGACATTGCTGACTTAGCTCCTCTCCTTTCTTTCCTCTCCCTCTCCTTTCTCTCTCACTCCGCCCTCTCCTCTTTTCTTGTTAGGCTCTCAATCTATCGCTCAAGCTGCCTGGAACTATGTCATCTACAATCTTCCTGCCTCAGCCTCCTGAGCATGAGATTACAGGTGTGTGCCACCATGCCTTGCTGGAACTTTTCTCTTTCTGTCTCCCTCTCTTTTTTCCTCCCCCCTCGCTCCTTCCCCCCTTCCTCTCTGTCTCTTTCTCTCTCTCTCAAGACAAGGTCTCAGGGTCTGTAGATGTGGTTCTATTGGTAGAGTGCTTGCCTGGGTTTGATCCACCGTACCATATAAACCAGGTATGGTAGTACATTCATGTACTCCCAATACTGGGGAGGTAGAGGCAGGAAGATCACAAGTTCGGGATCTTCCTTGGCTACATAGTGAGTTTGAGGCCAGTCAGGCTTTGAACTCATAATCCTTCTATCTCGAATTCCTGTATGCTGGGATCTGAAGTGTGTACCATTACATTTGGCTTGCTGTTTTTAAAGAGCACAATGTTTAGTTTCTTAATATTGAATTGACTACATTTTCTCCAAGTAGAAAATCACTCAGTGAGGAACGTGATGTTCTGATTTCTTGAGCCTTTCTTGCTTCTTGGATTGTCTAGTTAAGTCACTTTGTCCTTGTATCCCTTCTGCTATATTAAAAGTGTGTGGAAGGACTGGGTATACTAGGGTTAAAATAGTTGCCTTAGGCTATGTAGATGGTGATGGTTGCTTTTATTTTGTAACAATCTTATTTGTATTATTACATTTCCATTGATGGTTTTCATTTGTGTGTCAGTTATCAATTTTCTTGGTTCTGTTACTTCGGTCAGCCACACAAGGGAAGTACACAGAGTCAGACTTCCCAAGTTAAATAGTCTTAAGAATGAAGGTTCCTTGGTCACATTTTACCTTTGGCACCTGCCTTCATCCTGTAACTTGTGGTGCTCAATAGACCAGATACTGTCATTGTGGTTATGATAGATTTGTATTTAAAATTCTCTTTCATAAGCCTACTCTGTGTGAACTCAGTAAACATTTCTGAAGTAGTCATTTATAAAATGGGAAAATAAGTTCCACTGTGAGTGACTGTGACAGCAGTTAAGAGCATTTCTTCCATGTGTTCTTAGAAATGGGTGCTAGCACAGAAGAAAAAACAAGGCAGAAGAGGATTTCTGAAACGTAAAACTTCCTGACAATAAGGCTACAAGCCTTAAGAACCTCAGCTGGTGCATGCTTACGTTACTATCGGTAATGGCCGTGTTCAGACAGACTCCATATTTTTCTTGGCAAACATATCTGCATTGTACTTGCTTTGCTACTGACAGGGGAGAATGGGTTGAGCCATGCTAGCGCTTTCTTGCCCTGAATTGTTTAAGCCCTCGATTCAGTTAATTATAGATTACTGAAATTGAGTGTTTTGGATAGAGGCATGGGAATGTGAGAGCAGTGTGACTCCTTTGCCTGTTAGAAAAGTACAGCCTGGCAAAATGTTCAGTAAGGCAATCGGCAGTTGGACCCTAATAATAGTTACCATTAATTGGCCTTTTATGTGCCAGGAATTGTCGTAGGTATTTCTGTAACCCTGACAAGAACATTATGAAATATAGATGGCATTATCTCAGTTTTACTGATGAGGAAATGCAGCTCAGAGAGGCTTAGTGCCTTGCCCAAGGTTATATACATCTAAGAAGTGGCAGAGGTAGTATTTAACCCTGTCCGTCTCCGTAGCCCATCTCCTTTGTGTTGTGGCACATAGACTCTTTCTGTAAATCTGTAGATTTCTGAGTAAACTCTAAGGTGTGTCTGTCTGGCTAAGGCTTAGGTCATTCCAAGACCAGATTGAGGAGAGTGAGTCAGGCTCCGGGAAGAGGATGGGAGAAAACTGTATGAATGTAGAAGCTCAGAGATTTGTCAAGTCAGAAGATAGGAAGAACAGTTAATGCAGGGGAGCATCTGAAGATAGTGATATTAGCCCCCTATTTGGTGTTAACTTGTAACCTGATAATGTGTCCCTTCTCCCTTTTTTGATAGGGACTTACTGTTCATCCTAGGTTGGCCATCTTAGCTCCATATGCAATCCAGGTTAACCTCAAACTCCAGATCCTTCTATTCCCACCTCCTAGGATTATAAGCATGTGCCATCATGCCTGGCGTTATCCTTACGGTTCTGAATCTGCTTTCTGCTGAATTGTCAGTTTCCTCTGATATTTAAGGCCCTCCGCTTGAAATCAGACTTTGATTACAATTTTTGAGTATTAGAAAGGGAAGTACACTGTTAGGTATTTTTAAAAATTACTTTCATGTGTTTTGCCTACATGCCTGTCTGTGCACCATTTGCGTGCCTGGTGCTGAAGAAGACCACAAGAGGGCGGTAGAGTGCCTGGAACTGGCATTACAGCTGGTCTAGTGAGCCTCCTGTGGATGCTGGGGACTGGGACCGCGCCCTCTGGAAAGCAGCAGTGATGACCACTGACCATCTCCCCAGCCCCTTGTCCCTGGTTAGGCGGTCTTACTCTGTACTAACCCTTGCACTTACAGATTGATATGCACTATTTTATTCAATCTTTTTATATTAATCCTTTCAAGAGCTCTTAATATATAGTGTTATTTTTGTTTTTTTGGAAACAGAGATTAAGACATTTGTCTCAAAGTTATGCAACAATGTACTAGAGTGAACAGAATCTACCAAATTGTGTATGTTTTCAATTGCAGGGAGTTGCTCTAGGCTGAAGTTCCA